TGAAATGTCATCAAAAGAAGAGATGGCTGTCTCTCTTCTGTGAACAGAATACGCAGAGTTGCCTTGTTCCTACATTAGTTGCGTTTACTGTGTTACTTGTCGTCTTTTATGCATATTCTCAATCAACTAGAAAGATCAAATAGAAAACAGAATCATCAAATCAAGCGTACTAACTGGGCATGTAGACGGGAGCACTGCATTAACAGTTTAAAAAGGAAATTTCCAAGTTCTTTAATTTTAGTGCTTGCACTAGCATAGAGAGGATTTTAACTCAAGCCATGTTTTCTGCTCCTGCTCGGTGTGAATTGGACTCAACACTCGTTAACTGAAATGCTATGGGGTAGGGACTCGGTTCGCAGGGCGGACTGAATTGTTGGACGACCAAGTTAGAGATATTATGAAAATCTTGAGGGCTTAGTCTTGATTTTTAACTTATCAGTGACTAATATGAAACATACCGAAATTCAGGTTGGGAATTTTATAGGGGGCCACGGCTCCCTCGCATTTGGCTGATGCTCTGCCACTGTTCCTGGGCATAATAAAACTCTTAGGAAGTATTGAAGCGTGTGAACTGTCAATCTTCTGCAATTAGCCTAATTAGTGGCGTGATCACCTCAAAATCAAATAGTTGTGTGACTTTTGATGCTCCATTCGCTGGTAGAATTCTATGCGGTTTAAAATATTTTCAGCAAGAAAAACGATCGAGAAACCCCGCAAGTAAGTTTATTGCATGAATGTGAAGAACGAAGCCAAGAATTACGTTGGAGCAAGCAAACAAACACTTGGATAAGTTCTATAATTGACACGTCTGCAAGCAACTTTTCGAAACAAGTCTAGGATTTGTAATTTCTTGATGAATTAATACAGAAATCTTGAGAAGAGAAATAAATTAAGAAAAGAAAAGACTAGAATGGAATTCTTCGAAGGTGATTTGCAAATTTCATTTACGCTTGTGGATAATTACTTGAACTTCATTTTTTTCTGGTTTTTCTGTGTCCTATTGAAGCAATTGATTTTATTACGTGTAAGAGTGTTGTAGATTTTTTTAAAAATAGTTTTCATTAATATCATAATCAAACAACATGCCATGTGTTTGCAGTCTTTGGTGATTCATGAGGGTGGGTTCGAGAGCAAAATCAAGCTACGAAAGAACTCCGAACAAGAAAGGAGCGATCTGATTTAACAATTCTCAGAGCGTCGGGGTGCAATGACTCCCGTGATTTTGAATAAGAAAAATGAAAAAGCGAATACCAGTAATAGTTTTGCCATGGCTGAAAAGACTCATCAGTGTTATCAATCAGGATTGCTCGTTGCCGAAACCCAATGGAGAAAGGACGGGTCATTTCGAGGACAAATTTGAACTTATCCAAAGAGAAAAAAAAAACAATAATAATAATTAAAGAATGCAAAGACCAAGAGAAGAGGAGAGTCAAAAAGAAGAAGAAGAAGGGAAACCACTAAAATCATGGTTGATCTTATTATTTAGGCTCGTAAATGATTCAACCTATTTCTTAAAGTATTTTTTTAAAAAATATTAAATTAATATATTTTAAAAAAGTAATAATTTTATCGTGCTAGTATTTAAAATAAAAAAATAATATATTTTTAATTAAAAAATATTATTATATAACAACAACGTTGTGTCGCGTTACTAAAGATGATATTCGTTACGGTAGTTAACGTGTCAACATCAACTTGGAAATAAGACCAAACTTTAACCAGGCATTGCTGTGTTCGCTTTTCCAATTCTCTAGAGAACTGTGCTGACGTGACATGCAGAGAGAGTGATTTTAAATGTGAAACCGAGCAGTTAAGCTTCACGTATTGCTTCGAAAGTTGTGAGTTTTTCTCAGAGTTATGTAAAATTTTATATTTTCTCCATTTAGTTTTTATACTTTTTTTTTATGATTTATTCTTAATTGAAAATAAATTAATTTTAATCTATTATTAAAGAAAATAAATAAATAAAATCAAACTTGGGTGACATGTTATAATTTTTTTAAAAAATCACTTTAATTCTTTAACTTTAAAAATAAAATAAACTATATAATTTCAGAACCTCAATATTTTTTTAATTTAATTTTTACATTAAAGTTTTTTTTTTTAAATTTTAATATTTTTTTATAGAAAATAAAGAGATTTATTGGATTTGGATGATAATGAAAAAAAAGTATTATATTGATAAATTTTATTTTTTAAATAAAAAATAATTTTTAAATAATATTTTTAATATATATAGTTTTGGATGATTTTTTGTCCGTTTTTATTTTATTGGATTAATTTAATTTATTTCTAAATTTTTTTATTTTATTTAAATAAAAATATTTTAATAAATAAATTTAATAAATATAACCAAGTAAATATTTCTTGGTTTAATTTCTTTATTTATATTAGTTTTTTAATTTTTTTAAATTTTATTTTTAAATATTATAAATAATATTTTATTTATTTATTCACGGACATGATGCGCAGATTTTTTCATTATTTGCATGAATAATTTAAAAGGACAAAGAGAGTTGGCACTGTCATGTCATCCACCTCGAGGCCGGTGCACGACTTCTTATGATCTTCAAGTCTACTTTGCCAATAATTTAATAGAGAGATAATTACTTTATATCAATAATGAGATCCACGCTCACAGCCTGAAATCTTAAAAGGCTCAAGTGCCGGAAATCTTAACGGAGAGATGATCGCTTTTAACAGTAGCTCATAGTTAGCATCCACTGTCTCATCCTTTTGCTTTCCTCGAGGTGGCAATATCCTGCAAAATTCCTTTAAAAAATAATAATATTGGGACATGGCGGAGGTGCGGCCGACATGTATCCAGTTTCTATATGCTTTTCTCGCTGCTTAAATGATTGAGAGATTTTGTACCCTAAAAAATAAAAATGGCAGAGAGATTAGCTTAAAAAATGGCTCAGGGTTCATGATTGATTGTAGACTGTGATGTAAATCCATTCAGAGGACAAGAAGGGTGTTTTTCTTTAATCAGTTCTGAAGTTTCGAAGATCCCACTATTTTGTCCTGACAATTATTGATATTGTTTTTCCTAGCAAAGAAGACGAATCAAGTCTGCATAATAAAAACCACATAGTAAATAAATAAATCCACTTGCAAATTAAGATGGGTAAAGAATTGAGGCTTTCTAAATTGACCAAGACTGTTTTTTCTACATTAAATATTATTTTGATTAGAATAATTCAACAATCTTAGTGTAATAATTTCTTATTAAAAAAATGAAAGCTTTATGCATATCATTTCAATGAGGACTCATAATTATAATGGAGAATCGAGTGACCAAATGATCCTTTACATAGTTTCATTATTTGGGCTTTTGGATACATGCTTACGATAACCCGAGGCCTGCTGAATCTTCGTAAAAAGTTATATTGCATGGTCGGAAAAACAGAAAGTAGAAAAAGATTATTTATTTTATTAAACAATAAAAAATCAACCGAGATTAAGGAGTGAGATAGTTCATAGGCCTACTTTATCTTCTTTTTTTTTTTTGTTGGTTTGAGCACATTAAAAAATGAACTCAAATATAAAATATCACATACCAATATATATATAAAGGCTCCCGTTATCATTCAAAATAAAAAGAAAAACCTCTACCAATAACAACATGTTCCTCAAGGATGGCCATAGACATTAAACACACGAGATTGATTATTATTTTTTGGTTTTTCTGAGTTAAGTTGTGATTTTTTTTATTAATATAAATGTTTGGATTAATGTATATATTTTTTAATTAATTTTTTAAATCATAAAATTATTATTATTTTTTATTATTAGATGACAGGGTGCTGTGGAATTATTATGAGTTTGAAAATGCAACCGTAAGAACATATATGACACTACTATGTAAATTTCTTTTGAGTGTGCAAAGGACAGTTTCCAAGCTAGCTGTACTGTAAATTTTGTAATTGGCGTGAAAAGTTGTTATTTTATTTGCAAATATTAGTATGATATTAATGTAAATTAATTAAAAATAATGTTCTTTTTATTTTTTATTTTTTTCTTAACAAAATATTTGTTTATGTTTATAACAAAAAAACTTTTTAATAAACTTATATAAGTTGTTATTTACATGTTTAAATTTTTATTGTATCCTGAAAATACATTGTTTTAATCCTGTAACAAATATAATAAAAACAATTAATATCTTAAAGAAATATCTCAAAGCTAATTTGTTATACCCATTAACATTACAATGGTTACTTAATTTTTTTTACACTTGTAAGCTGATAAGACAAATCAGTAGCTCAAAACAACATCCGGGTTGAGTTTCCTTTCAAATTTCTATGTGCATTAACTTTATGGAACCCGAGTAACTTAATGAGTCAATTCACCATTTATATGAGAATCGATTAAGTCAACCTGAAGAATATTTTTTATATTCAAAATAATATTATTTTGAATATCTAAAACAATATTGTTTCGTTGAAAAAAACTTAAACATCTATATTTAAAAATAAATCCGAGCTGAACTGCCAACCTGTGAATTAATCTACGAACAGTTCACCTACCAAATCCAGAACTCAAATTTTGGAGCAAAAACAAAGTGAAGGAAAAACACCACTACTGTATTTCGACGGTTTTCTTCCTGGAAGCCCGTGGGAAGGGGAAATAGAGCTGATGGGCGTCCAAAACGATGTCGTAAGAAGAGAGATGAAAAGGACTGAGGCTGATTAATTACTTGGGCCAAGTATAAGCTGGAGCTCTCATCAACGGATCATGGAACGAATTCGAAATGGCTAGATGGTGGCTTGTCGCCTTGAATCGGGAGTCGGCGTCGAACGAAGGAAGGTCACATTCCAGTCTCAGCTAAGTCTTATAGTATAGGCCCACTTGAGAGGCACTGGAAACAATGGAGTCACTGGTTTGTATATGTCCACTCTCTCAACACATAGGCCCACTTGAGAGGCACTGGAAACAATGGAGTCACTGGTTTGTATGTGTGCACTCTCTCAACATTTGTATACACATAACATAAAATATGGCCTTCGTCTGCATTTAACAGTCCCAAGTCATTTTTAGAGGGGAAAAAAACTGCAACTCCAGGTCACGTGAAGGAAATGAGATGCTGTAAATTGTCAAAAACTAATGCAAACAAAATATCATATGCTGTCCGACGTCCGTGACAATCCTCTAGAAATCCTGTCGAAGTTTCAAGGGCGATACGACCTCAACTCTTCAATCAAAGCATTGAAATCAGAGCAAGAAGATCCACCTTCTTCAACAGCCTTCATTGCCATCTCTCCTAGCTTAATTGCTCTGCTCCTCTTTTCCTCTGCTTCTTCACCCACCATGATTTGAGTGATTGCCTTCTCTAAAGCTTCACTTTTAACATGATCTCCACGCACTCTAGCCCATTCCTTGACTCCAACACCAACTCCAGTTTTTAAAACATCAGTCACCAACTTTTCATTATAGAATTGCTCGGCACATACAGGCCATGTAATCATGGGCTTCCCTGCAGTTATGCCTTCAAGAGTCGAGTTCCATCCACAATGAGTCACAAATGCACCTATTGCTACATGATCAAGTATCAACACTTGGGGTGCCCACCCTCTTATAATCAGCCCCTTGTCTTCCATTCTTTCCTCAAACCCTTCTGGTAACCAATCTTCCTTATCTTCTTCACTGTTTTTGTTTCTTCTTACAACCCAGATAAATTGCTGGCCAGAAGCTTCAAGGCCTGTTGCAATCTCCTTTAGCTGAGAGGCAGAGAAGCTTGCCATAGTTCCAAAGCAGATATAAACAACTGAATTGGGTTTCTTGGAGTCAAGCCACTTCAAACACTCATGTTGATCAATTGAGGCTTCTTTTCCTCTTCCTGATTTATCCTCGATATCTGTATTACATAATGAAACCGGGCCTACATTCCAGGCCCTTCTGCCCAAAACCTTCCTGTAATAATCAGCATAAGCTGGCTCAAGCTCATAAAAGCTGTTGACAACAACACCGAAGCTCCTCAACTCTGATTCTTTGTATGCTTTCACGAACTTCGTGAAGTGATTTTGAACATTTTCTCTTATAAAATCTGGCAGTTGTTTCCTTGTCAACTTTATATCACCGGGAAGATTAGGCACAACAAAAGGTTCATAATCTGATGAAACTTTCTTGTGTGGCTCATAAAGTCTAACGCAGTCTCCAGCACTTAAAGCAAAGTTACTAGTGCCATGAAACACTAGTCTCGGAATTCCAAATTTGGCAGCAGCATCGGTCGCCCAAGGAAAGAACATATCAGCAACAACGCAATCAGGATGCCTTTCTTGCAGTACCTTCTCAAAGGGTTCTTGAAGGAGGGTTATGGCAATGAAAAACTTCTTGGTCATTTCCCCTGCATTTTCATTTGTAATGAATGCGTCTGTGTTTTCACATCCTTCAGGCAATCCTGCCTCTGCTGTAGGGAACTTGATGGTTTGGATATCAATATCAAAACCCAAATCTTTGGTTTTTTGGATGGTTTTGGAAAAAAAAGGCGCGTTGAGAGGAGTGGTGATGATGGTTGTCTTTACGCCTCGAGAAGCAAAAAGCTTGGCCATGTCCACAGATGGTATCATGTGGCCATGAGCCAGGAAAGGGAAGAAGAAAAAGTGTAATTGGTTACCCGAACTACCCATCTGGCCGTGTTAGATAAAACAAAAAAGAACTTGGTGTTGAAAATGGAACTTAGCTTGTCAGTAAAAATGGATGAATTGATGATGAAGATGAAGAAAACCTTAGACCACTCTTGTTTGAATAAAATTTTGGACATGGATTGGTATTTATGAACAGAGGTTAGGCAGACGAAATTTATTTTGCCGAGGCTTTTCTTGAATCAAGATATTTCCACACTACACTACGCTCACGCCACTACACTACACTACGCTCACGTCACTGCTCCTGTCGGAAAGTGTCGATTCTACTTGGGAAGGTTCGAAGACGTTACCTGAAACTTTTGATCCATATAGACAACTCGTGTCGCACGAGAATTTTTGCAGAGCTATCTTAATTTTGAATAATTATAGTCTAAGTACAGGTTTCTAGATTTCACACCAAGGCATCCACGCGCTCTCCTTTAAGAACAAGCAGCCCATATATGCTCTAAGTTGAACTTTGTGGGACTCCTTCGTAACCGGCTCTCTTACGTCAGGATTTTTTTTTTAAAGCTTAATTTCAGGAGGATATTCGGATATTCCTCCGTAAACACCCGCAACATTTTGCATTTAAATTTAAATTTAATTGATAAATAAATTAAATTTACATATTAAAAAAGATATTTTACTATTGAATTTAATTAATTTTATTTTCTATGTTATTATCATCACATTTATTTTATTCTAATTCTTTTCTACTAGTATCACCACAAATAACCTAAAAAAATCAAATCCAAATACCTCTCTCTGAAGCTTTATTTTCTCAAGACTACGCAAGCCATAAAATCAAGGACACACAACAAAACCTAATACGGGAAGAGGAGTGTTTTGGTGATGTTGCAGCTGAGGTTTGAATGGTGATGCATATTTACTCTGGACAAAAGGAGAGTACTGATAAAAAAAAAAAAAAAAGATGGATAAATGAATATTTTAAAAAAGTCAGTTTTAACGTTATTTTTTCTAGAATAATAAATTAGAGAAGATTGCCTCTAATTGACTTTTGTTTTATTTTTAAATATTGATTTTCATTTAAAATATAATTCTTGACTCTTAGAATGGTTTTCTTCAAACATTTGAATTCAATTCAAAGATTCTAAACATGAGCTCTGAGACATGGGTGCTACGTATTTCCAGTTGCATGGCTATTTTCAGTATTATTTTTTTCGTACTTTGAATGCTTGAAAGTTCCAGGAGATAGAAATGCTTTTGAAGAAAAGAATTTTAATGGAGACGCCATTTGATAGTAGAATGGAATTTCATGCTATAAATTTGTCGTTCGATATTGTCGGCTGACAATCCTATTGTCGTGGTTTTACCCCTTTTTTTAAGGTGCTTTTTTTCTTTTTACATTTAAAATAAAATGTGTTTTGCTTTTGCTTTTAATATATTCTTTGACTTGGGGAAGAATCAATTCATGCACTATATAAAATGCATGAGATGCTAACGTGCATAGACACACTCGGCTAGAAGAAAATGTTCCGTAAGACAGGAGTAATTAAATGCTCCTAAGTACGAAGATGACTGACAGCTTCAAAATTCAATAAGCTTAGAAATAATACTGTATTGCATAATTATTTAATTTATTCTTTTTAAGATGTTTGACTTGAAATGAAAGGCTGAGATGAATAGGTGATTTTTAATAATCTAAGATAATTAATAGTTAATACCAGTAAAAAATCCTTATAAATACTTTAGTCAATAATTTTATTAAAAAATATATAATAATATTTTATAGAGATAACTTATAAAAATATATAAGTTTAAAGTATTAAAAATATAGAGATAATGAACTTGAAACTTAAGTGCTCATGTGGTATTTATAATTTATAAATTTTGTTATTTTTGGAAATAAAAAACTGGAATGTAATTTTATTTTGTAATATTTTAAATTATATCCTACTAAAAATAATATATATTAAATTATTATAAAATAATAAAAAATCCGCACGACATCAAAAAAAAATTCTAAAAAGGATTAGGTTTGGGCCAGGTGGGCTCATTTCACATGTTCAAGTCAGTAAGGGTGCTATAATCTATGACCAGCAAGCATGCTGTATCGAATACCCAAAAAAATAATTTACAGGATTAGTTAGACTAACTTGGCTCATATGACGAAGTTTTTTTTTTATTTCTTTATTATGATTATTTTATCTTGATTTATGTGACTTATTTAACTTGTTTATAGATTTAGTTATAAATTTAAAATTGATTATTGGGCTCAATTTCATTAATTTTAAGTGGTGGAATAAACAAATGAATCTAAAAATAAGCATAATTAAATAATTTTTTTTAGATTAGAAACTAGTGGTAGCCTCGCTACAAGATTATAATGGAATGGTTATAATTTTTCTAACTAACCTTCTTACCTAAGAACTCTTAGAATTATAGTTTAAATCTTTATTAGTTTTCACTTTTTCATGGTGGCAACAAAAACGTATGCATTATATTGAGTTTGCTGTCGTAGGCCCATTACAAGAGTATGTTTGTAACGGTGATAATAATAATGATTTTTTAAAATATTTTTTATTTAAAATTATATTAAAATAATACGTTTTAATTTCTAAAAATTATTATTGAAATTAAAACGTAAAATCATTAAAAAAATAACAAAAAAATAATTCAAATTTCCTACAAACGCCATTTAGAATGCAATTACAACCGGCCCAAATTGTTACAAAATTGCAAAATTGGTTGCCATCAGTGCATCAGTGCAATTATGTTATTTCAAATAACCCCATTAATTTTGGGAGTTGTGGAATTAATTGTGGTGCGCGTAAACTGACCCGGACATCTATATTAATAATAAAAAAAAATCGAAATTTATGTTATATAGCAGCAAATGAAATTGCTGCCACAACAATGTTCACGATAAAATAGATTAAAACTACTGCAAAAACAGATACAAATGAAATGTGCTTTTAAAATATGAATCTAACCCTGGTGACAGAAGCTCAGTTCCTCGATAAGAGAATCCAAATCAGAGTAGGAGGAACCCCCTACTTCAATTGCCTTCCTTGCCATCTTCCCAAATGCCTTAACTTTGCCCCTCATTTCCTCTGCTTCTTCGCCCTCCATGAGTCGACTCACTGCCTCTTCTAAAGCTTTACTCTTAATGCTATCCCCGCCCAATAAAGCTTGTTCTTGAACACCAATCCTGATACCTATTTTCAATATCTGTGTCACCAGCTTTTCATTGTAGAATTGCTCTGCAGACAGTGGACATGTGGCCATTGGAACCCCAGCGGTAATGCCTTCAAGAGTCGAGTTCCATCCACAATGAGTCACAAATCCTCCTATTGCTTCATGGTCAAGAATCAACACTTGCGGTGCCCACCCTCTTATGATTAGCCCCTTCCCTTCCATTCTCTTCTCAAATCTTACAGGTAACCAAGCTTCCTCTTCTTCACTGTTTATGGTATTCTTAACAACCCAGATAAATTGCTGACCAGAAGCTTCAAGGCCTTTTGCTATCTCTTTTAGTTGAGAAGCACTGAGGTTTACCATACTACCAAAACATATGTAAACAACTGAATCGGGTTTTTTGGTTTCAAGCCAGCTCAAACACTCATTTTCATTAATAGAAGCTTCTCTTCCCCTCTCTGCTTTGTCATCTATGTTTCTGTTGCAAAGAGAAACTGGTCCTACATGCCATGCTTTTCTTCCAAAAGCTTTTCTGTAATGATCAGCATAAACCGGCTCAAGTTCGTAGAAACTGTTGACAACCACCCCGTAACTTTTCGAATCTCCCTCATTAACCTTCTTGTACATCTTGTTGAAGTCGTCGGATTCATCATCGTGTCTTTCAGGATATGGCAGTTCATTTCTTGTCAACTTGATATCATCAGGAAGGTTAGGCATAAAAAAGGGTTCACAATCTGATGAAACTTTCTTGTGTGGCTCGTATAGTCTCAGACTTTGTCCAACGCATAAAGAAAAAAAGCTAGTTCCATGAAACACTAACCTTGGAATTCCAAATTTAGCTGCAGCATCAGTAGTCCAAGGAAAGAACATATCTGCAATAAGGCAATCAGGATGGATTTCCTCCAGTAGCCTTTCAAGGGGTTCTTGGAGAAAGGTGGTTGCCGCGAAAAATTTCTTGAGCATATCCCAACCCATAGCCTGAGAAATAATCAAGTCTGCATTTTCACATCCTTCTGGTAATCCAGTCTCAACAGTGGAGAATTCGATGGTTCGTATATTAATTTCAAATCCCAAATTTTTTGTTCTTTGGACTGTTTTGGAGAAGAGAGGCACATTTAGAGGGGTGGTGACTATGGTAGTCTTTAGGCCCCGGGAAGCAAATAGCTTGGCCATGTCCACCAGTGGTATCATGTGACCATGAGCCATGAAAGGAAAGAAAAGAGCATGTAGCTGGTTAACTTCACTGCACATGTTGCCTTATCACCAAAGGAAGCTTTTGTACAGTAGAATTCAATGGTTGAGTTACAAGATAAACAAGAATCGGTGATGAAGATAGACGAGAAGAGGAAGGAAGGGTTGGGCTACCTTTTTTTGGCTTGCCTTCTATGACTAGCATGCCAATTTTTTGGCAAGAACGAGATATTTTTGGTTCTTTCTGATGATCACGGGCCCACCAGTACATGCCCTGGACACCATTTTCTCTTTCATGGGTTGAAGGAAAGAAAATTGTGAGTACTGTGGATAATGTGAAATTTATCCAGGCCATTCAAAAGAAGCTAGAACGGAAGGGAGATCTACTGCGAATCTATACATTTATCACCATTTACCATTACAGTATCATTGTTTTTTTTTGTTTTTTTCAAAAAATCAATAAACTTGTCTTGGGAGTAATTCGATCCTTATGTAAAGTACATTGATGATTATAAGATTGATAAAAAGTAGATTTGTCATTTTTATTTTTTTTATCACAATAAAATTACTAAATTAATTTTAAATGTAAAATTCTTACAACTGATATTTATAAGATTTTTTTATCTTTTAATTTTTTAAAACATAGTAAAATAATTTAATTATTTTTTTAAACAATTGTTTGTTAACTCATGGATAGTGGCTTTTCCATCTTTTAGTCTTCATTATTTGGTTATTATTAAGTTGAATAAAAAAATTTAATACATATATATATATATATATATGTAACTTTGCACTATATAAACAAAGCTGGAAGAGACAAGCGAAGGGTGAGTAATGACTTTT